AGACCAAACTTGGCGATCTCAGCATCACGGAGTACTTCAACAAGATGATGAGCCTCACAGACACTCTGGCCTTTGTTGGTCGGCCACTTCTGGACGCGGACTTCACCACCTTTGTGCTTGACGGGCTCGATGATGATTATGACAATCTCATTGAGAACGTCCATGGTCGAGATGATACACTCCCGCGTCGTGAGATCTATGCGCGCCACCTTGGGCGTGAGCAGCGCATCAAGGCACGCCGTGTTTCCCCCAGCTTCGTCTCCGCCAACGCTGCCACACGCGGCAAACCTCAGAAGCCGGCCCCATCAGGTGGCAAACCACCGGCTTTCTCGTCGTAGGCCTCGCGGGGCAACGCGCCGACCATCATAGGAGGGAGTCGCCCAGTTGCTTGATGTTCCAGTTGCGGCACTCCTCAGGCTTGTCAGCTCTGTGGCATAGATCGTCACCTCGCCTCTCGCTGCCACAGATGCTACAAGCAAGACTTCCTTGGCCTTGGCAAAAATGGAAAAGGGAATGATAAGCAGGTTGCAGCTGCGGTGACAGGGCACGAGCACGGGCGCACCCAGTCATACTCTCTTGATCCAGCATGGTATATGGATACAGGAGCGACGAATCACCTCACCAGCGAGATGGGCAAGCTCTCCGTTCAGGAACCGTATCGTGGACATGATCAGGTGCACACCGCCAATGGAGCAGGTATGCGCATCTCCCATGTTGGTCAGGCATCACTTCTTGCACACAATTTTCGCAAACTACATCTCTCTAATGTCCTTTGAGTTCCCTCTGCTACGCGTAGTATGTTGTCTATTCCTCAACTTACTCGTGATAATAATGTCCTTGTTGAGTTTCACCCTTTTCGTTTCTTTATCTAGGATCAGGACACGAGGGCTGTTCTGCTTAGCGGTCGTCTTCGCCATGGCTTATATGCACTTGACGCACCGTCTTCATCTCCTACACCGTCTTCTCCTCAGGTGTTCAGTGGTGTTCGTGTGTCCCCTACGCACTGGCATGCGCTCCTTGGACACCCTGCTTCTCCTATAGTTAGTCATGTGTTGCATCGCCATGAACTACCAGTTGTGTCCAATAAGAGTGCTGAAACTATTTGTGATGCCTGTCAGCAGGGCAAGAGTCACCAACTACCTTTTTTAGAGTCTAGTCGTGTTGTGAAACATCCTCTTGAGCTTGTGTTTTCTGATGTATGGGGTCATGCCCAAACATCTGTTAGTGGTCACAATTACTATGTCAGTTTCATTGATGCTTACAGTCGGTTTACTTGGCCATATCTTATCAAGCGCAAATCTGATGTGTTTAATGTTTTCATTCAGTTCCAAGCACACGTTGAGCGTCTCCTTAAGCACAAGATTATTCATGTTCAATCCGATTGGGGGGTGAATATCACAACCTCAACTCATTTTTTAATAAGCTTGGGATTTCGCATCGCGTGTCTTGTCCTCATACACATCAGCAAAATGGCACCGCTGAACGTAAGCATCGTCATCTTGTAGAGACTGGACTCACTTTAGTAGATCATGCCTCCATCCCGTTTTGGTTCTGGAGTGATGCCTTCTCCACCGCCTGTTTCTTGATAAATAGGCTTCCCTCACGACTACTGAAAATGAAAACCCCTCTTGAACTTTTGTTCGGTGATATTCCAGGCTACACGTTTCTCAAAGTGTTTGGGTGCGCATGTTGGCCGCACTTGCGGCCTTACAACAAGCGTAAATTAGAGTTTCAGTCTAAGAAGTGTGTTTTCCTTGGGTACAGTTATCTTCACAAAGGGTACAAGTGTCTTCATGTTCCCACCAATCGGGTCTACATTTCTCGTGACGTCGTGTTTGATGAGAATGTGTTCCCGTTTCGTGCTCTTCCGAACCATTCTACCACTAGTTTACCACATGTGCACTCCACTACACCTTCACCAGACCAATTTGTGGATGTTGCAAATGCTCCTGTGTTCCTTCCTAACCATGCTGCAGGTATTGGACGCGGTGCCCGCCTTGAACTCCTGGATGATGAGGTTCTGGACGATACTCATGATGGCCACGTTGATCCTGTGCATGGCCCATGCATGGCGGGTCATGCCCGTCAGCCCGATGCATCCACAGCCGCCCCACGGGTGTCGGTAGTGCCCGCGGCTGCACCTGCCGAGGCCGCCCCATTGGCCGAGGCGCCCGGTCCAGCGCCCGGGTCGCCCTCCTCAGTGCCCGGGTCATCAGCCCCGTCGATCGGGTCGCCCGGCCCTGCGCCCGGCTCGCCTGGCTCGCCCGCTAGGCCACAGGCGCTACCCTCATCAGGTCCATCAGTAGGCGGCCCAGCAGCCACAGAAGCTGCACCGGCCAGCCCCGCCTCGACTACGTCGTCGCCTGGGTGTGGTAGCCCTGCCCTGGCAACGTCGCCCGGTGCTGAGTCTGCTAACTCTGGCTCCTCCAGCCCCGTCTCGGCCATGATGCCTTCGTCGCCTGTGGCAAGCCCCGTGGTGCCAGCACCGCCCGCTGTGGTTCATCATCAACCACACACGCGCAGCCGGTCTGGCGTTTTTTGGCCTAAGGAACGCAAAGACGGGATGGTGGCATGGCTTGCTGCATGTGTGGCTCATGCAGCTGCAGATCCCATGGCAGAGCCGCGTCATTTTCAGGTTGCATTGGGTATTCCTCACTGGCGTGCTGCCATGGAGCAGGAATTTCAGGCCTTGCTGAAAAATGGTACCTGGCAACTTGTTCCCCCGGTCTCTAGCGTCAACATCATTGACTCCAAGTGGGTGTTTAAGGTCAAACGACATGCAGATGGTTCTATTGAGCGCTACAAGGCACGACTGGTTGCCAAGGGTTTCAAGTAGAGGTATGGTCTTGATTATGAAGACACATTCAGTCCAGTTATCAAGCCTACTACTATTCGTATACTGCTGTCTCTTGCCGTTACTCGTGGTTGGTCCCTTCGTCAGCTTGATGTGCAGAATGCTTTCCTCCATGGAGTTCTTGAGGAAGAAGTTTATATGCGTCAACCACCCGGTTTTGTTGATCCTACGCGTCTGCATCATCTCTGTCGTCTGATCAAGGCGTTGTATGGACTTAAACAGGCGCCTCGTGCATGGCATGCTCGTCTTGGTTCTGCTCTCCGGGCTCTTGGGTTTCTTCCCTCAACTGCTGACACGTCACTGTTTCTCCTTCAGCGCCCTGAGGTGACGATGTATCTCTTGGTGTATGTTGATGATATCATCCTTGTCAGTTCCTCCAATGCTGCTGCCGATCGCCTTGTGTCTGCATTAGGTGAGGAATTTGTTGTCAAGGATTTGGGTGCTCTGCATTATTTTCTTGGATTGGAGGTGTCACGGTCCTCTACTGGGTTGACTTTGAGCCAGAAAAAGTACTCCATGGATCTGTTGGGCCGTGCTGGGATGCTCCAATGCAAACATGCTATCACTCCGATGTCTGCCACTGATCGGTTGTCTGCCCTTGATGGAGATCTTCTTTCCACTGATGACGCCACTGAGTATCGCAGTCTTGTTGGTGGTCTGCAATATCTCACTATCACCAGACCTGATGTCTCTTATGCAGTCAACCGTGTGTGCCAGTATCTGCATGCACCTCGTACCACTCATCTCTCAGCAGTTAAGCGCATCCTGCGTTATGTTTCTTCTCCTGCTTCGTATGGTCTACTCCTTCAGTCTGCACCTTCTTGTGAACTTTCGGCTTTCTCTGATGCGGATTGGGCTGGCAGTCCTGATGATCGGCGATCCACGGGGGGATATGCAGTGTTCTTTGGTCCTAACCTGATCGCCTGGAATGCACGCAAGCAAGCCACCATGTCCCGTAGCAGTACTGAAGCTGAGTATAAAGTTGTTGCTAATGCTACCGCTGAGATCATATGGGTACAGTCTTTGTTGCGGGAGCTGAGAGTCGCTCCAGGTCATCCTCCAGTTTTGTGGTGTGATAACATCGGCGCTACATAACTTTCATCTAATCCGGTGTTTTATGCTAGGGCGAAACACATTGAGGTTGACTATCACTTTGTTCGGGAACGTGTTGCACAGAGACTACTTTGTATCAAGTTCATCTCCTCCAACGATCAACTTGCTGACATCTTCACGAAGCCTCTTCCACAACCACAGTTTCTAGGCTGTAGGCGCAATCTTAACTTACTTTGTACTTCAGGCTACAGTTAAGATTGAGGGAGGGTGTTAGACTGTATATACGTAGTCTTGTACATGACTTGTATTGTACCTCTTGGTACGTCTATATAATGAGATAGCCACACCCCGTTTTAGGGTGTCGAGCGGTTCCCCAAAACTTACATTTTACACCCTTTGCAATCAAACTGACAATAACAGAGACGGACACGGGAACGAGGAATTGATTCAGACTCTGCCGCCTCGCCGTTCTGCCTCCCCCCGAGAGCCACCCCGGCAGATCCATTCCGAGTCGCCCTCGCCTCTGGGCTTCGCCCCCGCCAGGTCGTCGTCTCAAAAAGTCACCGGACTCATCCATCACAGTCAGCCCAGATTTCGCCAAGAGCTGCCCCCACTGGTTTGGCTCCGCCTTCTGTCAAGCCGGCCACATCGCCACCAAACGCCACCCCGTCGGCTACGGCGCCTTTGTATCCGCGATTCGCCAGACTGATGCCTCCTCCGATTCAGCTGGGTGTTGACCGTCCGCCCGCCGGCTCGTCTGCTGCGTCCTCTGCCATAACTCGGTCACTCCGCTCCCTACTGTGGCCTCCTTCATGCTCCAGTGTCGGTTCTACGACCGAGCTCTAAGCCGTCGCTGTCGTGCCTCGCTGAGCTGCTATGGCCCACCGCTTCAGCCGTCGTGCCTTGAGTCGCCTCGATGGCCTCCTCTCTGGAAGTGTGCCTTGCTGGCCTCGCCGGCCTTGCTCCAAGTCGGCTGCCTACGTCTTCAACCTGCTGGCGTTTGCCTTTGACCCGCCGTGGTTGTGGCCTCATCTTGCCGTTGTAAGCCGCTGCCCGTGAGTCGCCCCTCTGCTTGGCTTCCTCCAAAACCGCCATGAGATGGACTTCGTCGAACCGCCATGGCCTTGCTGTCAAACCACCACGGCCTCGTGTCACCTCAAGCACCGCCCTCGTGCTTTGTCAGCCGCCACCGCTGAGCTGCCGTCGTGCTCACCTCTACTTCAACCCGGCTCTGCCGAGCGTCGCTGTCACACTGGGTCGCCACTCCGGCCTCGAACTGCAGCTTTCTGACGAGCGTCGGCGAGCGCCTCGCGCCTCCATTGGTGTTGCCCCTGCATTGAGCATCGCCCACTCCGTACCGTACCAAGCTACTCACATCTGTACGGTGTTGCAAGTTGCCAAAGATCAGATCCTGAGGCTACAAGTAAACGTTCAAGTCACCAAGGCGTTTTTTTGTGCTACTGTTTTCCATTTTGTCACACAAGGGGTCAATCGAGTTGGTACTGCTCGCTGTTGTGCAAAGAAAATTCAGTCACAGAGTAGTACTCCATGAGTACTGTTTACACAGGACAAGTTGATAAGGACACCCAAGTTCAGTGCGCTGCTTAGGCATGATTCATTTAAAAATTGGATGGATGCGTGGTTATCATTTGGTCAAGTTATTGTGCAGTCACTTCATCTGAAAAATACATCAGGTGATACCTATTCTATTTATTTCATATGTATATAATAATCTATCTGCGAACAGCTACTTTGTTTTGTGATTTTTTCCGATGCAGGACAATTGTTCACTGCAAAAGCGATGGCCGTATCATGGATATAAATTCGCGCCAATATTATTAAGCGCCAGCATCCAACCATACCGCATTGTTCAACAAATGTGTGCGCAAGCTGCCGCCTGTGCAGCTCGATCTACATCAACTCGCTGAAACCATGCCCACGATTGACTCACCGACCGCGCGGCTTACCACTGCTGCGATTGATTCACCCGTCTGCACCGGCTTACAACGCCGCGACCGGCTCATCTACCTACTCCCGTGGCCGACTTGGCTGTGATTGATTTCAGCTTCACCATGGTGATCATCAACTCCGCGGTGGATAATTACTGGCATAACTTATCAGGTGAAATCCGTCCAATATATTTTGTATTACATATTATTTTCTTTAAAAGAGCAATTACTTTGGCTTGCAAGTTCTCCCATGCAGGACTTGAACCGGTCTATATCACAGTCAACTATGGAGAATCTCAAGCCAACTCCTCAAGTCGCCTTGAGACTCGGGGGCTATGATGACATGGCTCGGTAAATGTTGCCTGTTTAAAAGCCGTCAGAAAATTTTCGGCTCAAAATGAATAATTTCGGTTTACAATCCGGCTCAAGGTAAACCTGTCTCCCACAAGGCTTTGAAAACTCTCAATATCCGGTTCAAAATCCCGGTTCAAGAAGAATTTATCTCTTGCAAAAAATTAAAGGTTGCTAAAAAGAACTTGCTGCCATGATGCGCGGTTCAAACATAGGTATCCTGCCTTACGGCTTATCTTATTATAGTCACTTGGGGGCTTCCTGCTCATCGAGTATAGCTGTCGGTACCCTCTTGATCGGTGCAATGCTAATATATGGTCACTTGGGAGCTTCCTGTTCAAACATAGGTCGTATTCGAACCAAAGAGAACATAGCTATCGAAACCCTTTTGATCGGGACACTTCCAAACTCACTAGGGGGCTTCTTCATCGTATCCGAATCATAGCTTAACCTCTTTTGGGTCCGACGTGGATCGTATTCGAATCAGCGTTGTTAAACAACTCTCAAGGTCATTTGGGGGCTTCCTGTTCAAACATAGGTCGTATTCGAACCAAAGAGAACATAGCTGTCGGTACCCTCTTGATCGGCAATGCCAAAGCCACTGGGGGCTATATGATCATATTCGAATCTTAGCTCAACCCCTTTGTACTTGTTTTCTGATCGTATACGAATCAGAAGCCATAAATTTTTTAAGTATTTTTTGCGAACAATTTTGGGTTTGACTTAAGACCTTTTTTGGATTATATCTCAAATGTATATAAGTGTTTTATGCTTAACCCGGCTTGACTTTTGACTATGAGTCGCCAGTTTATGACAATCATCATCTAGGTGGAAGCATTGGCTTCTAAGGATTGGGTTATCACCCTTACTGCACAGGTCATGTGAACCGGCAGTACAAATTCAATATCACAGTGGTTATATGTAAGATATTATGACCCACCCTGGCTTTGACGCTAAGTCGCCAAGGCATATGGTGTTTAAACTCTTTGCAGGATTTGCAGAAATATAACATATAAATGATTAAGTTCAAGCTCATTACCAAAGTTGATGCTTCAAAATGATTATCCATTCTGGATTTTTCTCAAAGGCTATAAGCCGCCGGGTTATACAAATTCCGTCTTACAATGGAGGTGTATTAAATCGCCATCGGCCAAGAGCCGCCGGGTATTTAAACTCCGGATTTACTTCTCTACAGATGAGGTATTCAAAGTCGCTTTGGTGCAATGGCTATTATTTTATTAATGGATAAGGTTTATTCTACAATGGAAGGAATAGTCCCGAGTCGTTGCAGGCTTACGACCCGGCACTTGGGGGCTACATTATTCAAATTGAGGTTACATCACATATGCAAGTCTCATGTTGCTGCGAGCATGCACCATGACACTTGTGGGCTAATGCAAAGTCATTTTTTCTCACCTCATTGAAGACCCGACTCATCACATCGTAATGAGCCGGCCCTTGGGGGCTACCAATTGCCCCTGTCAACAGTTCAAGGTACACAAGTCTTAATCCATTATATTGAAGGCATTGCTCAGTTGGTAAAGCACAAAGCTCTTAACCTTGTGGACGTGGGTTCAAGCCCCATGCTGGAGATTACATCATATGATGTTATTATCAATGAATTATATACAAAGTCCCAGCTCAGTAATATCTTACTAAGCCGGCCCTTGGGGGATACATGTTGCTGCTCCAGTTTACATGATAATATTTACAAAATCCCTGCTCATTATTGCATAATGACCCGGCCCTTGGGGGCTACACTAGTTGAAGTTTTATGAGCATAAGGCAATTACATGTCCCAGGTTGCTGCAAGCATGACAACCTGGCACTTGGGGGCTACAGGTGATATACATATAAGGAAAAAATAAATCTTCAAATTCTCAGTTTTGAGCAGGTCAGATTGACTCGGTGTTTGCAACAATCATGATACAGTGTCACCAATAATTATGACCCAGCGTCGACAACAGTTATGGCCTGGTGCTATCAATATTTACAAGCCGGCAATTTTGGCAGTTATAACTAGCCAGCATCTACATCTTTAAACCGGCGGATCACCAGATGAATCTTGAGTCCAATATGTTTATTAAGCCGGAGCTTTGGAAACCGACTCAAATGGATTATTTCTTATCATATTTCTCAACAAGAGATCAATGTTAGCAAATTGACTCTGAAGCTGGCCTGTTGACCCGGATTTCTCAAAGGAAGTATCTGGATCTTTTGCATTGGTAAAATTGGGACATATCTGCTAAGGAGATTTGCTATGAGATCATGGATACATATCAAGGAAGAAATGTCAAGGACTTAAGGATGATTAGGTGCCGGCTTACAAGAATATTTAACCCGGAGTACAACCTATCAAATTTGTTCTTGTGTTAATGTTGCAGATCAGTTTAACATGGGTAAAATCCAAATTAAACTGGGGGCTAATGTCGGGGATATACCCCGCGGTGTAAACCGCCAGAAGTATGACCCACCGGAGCTTGGCGATTCACGGGTAATCCGCCCGGACTTGGCGGCTCATAGTAACCCGGTGGGCGGGTCAGATGGATGACAAGGCCCAAGGCCCAGAAGGCCGGCTCATGTTAATGGTGGGCCGGTTTATGAGGAAATCACAAGGAATATTCTCTTATAAAGGAAGCATGACTAGGACTCCACTTGTAATAGGTTAATCCTAATCCTACTAGGACTAGTAATGTAACCCGCCCCTTCAACATATATAAGGAGGGGTAGGGCTCCCCAAAGAGGGACAAAAAAAGCAACAAGAAACAATCCCTAGGGCTAGAAAAACTAGGAAAGCTGGTTTACGGTGACTCCCTCATGATCATAATGAGACCTAGCCACAAATAGCATGTAGGGCTATTACCGGATGATGTTTCCCGGGGCCCGAAGCTGTCTAAATCCGTGTCTTGTGTGTTGCGTCTCTCGTCCCGATCAACCCCTCTCAAGCTACCACATAGATGCGTTGGCCTCGCGACTAAGTCCTGACACTAAGGACATCTGACGTGTTAATTCCATGACAGCCGGGGTGGTACTGGGAGGCGCTACCTACCGGGGGGCGCAGGTTGGTGAGGAGCCAGCCTATCGTTGACCCGAACCTTCTTTGGTGGCGGTCGCGTGGGCCAGTGATGGTCCAGAGGCTCGAGGACCCCGCGGAGGTGGTGTGTCACTGTGTCAGTGAGGAGGAAGCGCACGTCCGTCGCTACTTGTTTGCGTTGGAGCACAGGTTCTCCAATACCTGGCAGGTTCTCCATGGATCTCACTGGAGCTATGATCCCGTGATGGTTCCTTCTCTGTGGGTGTCCACCGCCCGCGCCGATACCCGTCGTGTGCTAGGGTTTTAGTTGTATTAGTGATGTTATATGTATGATACTATTCGGGATGTATTAGTGATAATATTCGACGATGTACGGATGCATGAGATGATTTACTTTTGCTTATTGAATGCATTCTAATTTGAGTCCTATAAGATATTTTGAAATGTATATCTTGTGTTGCTCAAATAGGATATGTGCTTGCCCAAGTGGCCGGTCATGTTTGCAGGTTACACCTCCGAGTGGCCTATGTTTTGCCGGAGTGTTGATTCATTTTCGTTCCGGCAAATTTCAGGCGCTCGATATGTCCTATTTTAGCAAAGGTCATGCCGGATTTTTCCGTGAATTTTGGTATGACTTGTGCCAGAATATGTAGGAAATATCGAGTGCCCCGGATTTGTGTGTTGAGTATCCTGGTAGTTGTCTTTGATCAATTTTTCAATTAATGTTTTAACTATGAACATAGGAAATGTCTGACGACGAAAAGGATTTCGGTATTTGCAAATACTGCGAAGACGAGCGCGGCCTATGCGATGGAATCTTCCTAGATGATGATAGGCGCTTCAGCATCAAGCTGGACGAGAACTTCGAAGTGGATACAGTAAGTCACAACAACAAGTCTTTTTTCGTAATTAAGCATGACATGTGCTTCATTTGCTTCAACTTATAATTTTTTTATTATTCTACTAGCGTATCCCCTGCCATGCAAGACTTTTTGTATTGGATAAGATAGGTTTCAGTCGTACTATGGAGGTAAAGAAAGTTTACTTGAAGACCGAGCATGGTTATATTTTCCACGCAAAATTATACAATTCAGACGACTACACCTATTTTGGATGCAAAACATGGCGAGCACTATGCAAGACTTATGCATTTGAGCCTGATATGGTTATCACCTTTGATATTCGTCCTGAAGATGATATTGAAGGTAATACCGACATCTGGGTCGATGTGCAGACTCCTCAAGTTATACCATTATGTGAGTTTCTCAACCATATTTATGTCTTTGATATTGTTTATTCAAAAATAGTTGACAACTAATTTCTATTGCCAGCTTATTTCCGTTCAAGCAAACATGTCCAGTGCTTGGTAGACAGGACCTACTACTATCCCGGGCTGAACTAAACTGTGAGGAGCTAAGTCATTATATTTCATGGCTTGCGGATCTTGATACTGTCAAGACAAATTTTCTTCCTGGATTTAGAAATGTTTGTACTGAAAACGTGTGACCAAAAGTGTTCGTAATGAACTACGGTCACATCTATTTAGGAAAGATAGTAAGATTTCTACTATTTGTCCTCAGTGCATCTTTTCCATACATTATTCTTTAAGCTAAACTTCATTGCTAAGTATGTTACCATACGATGTTCTTCAATAGGGACTCCCGATGAATGTTGTGCCTTATGGGAACGAGACTAAAGGTACCATGAGTATTGTTCGCTTACGGCCAAGATATCCTACAAATCACTATAGTGCATTCAGGATTAGCGACGAATTCTTAATAGTGAAAGACTGGACCAAATCTGTGATGGAGGAGTGCAGACAAGTACTAGGGGGCAGCAATCACAAGCGCATCCCATGATTAAGAGACAGGTTCATCTGCATGCTCCAACTTGATGAAGGAGGAGAGAGAGCAGCAGGAGTGATTAGCTAGCTAGAAATGAGTTTAAAGATGATGATGTGCTACACTATG